TGGATAATCCAGAACTTGAGTGGCTTCTATGCTCTCGGCCGCGTTACTGCACTCCACAAGAAATATCGAAAATTCGTCAAGGGTTTTGACATCACCCTGTTTGATGGAAGGCCAATCCAGTGCCTCTTATGAACGTACCTGCAATCACTTCCTTGTCACCGTACCTTTCTTCCAGTTGTTGCATGGCTGCAGCGTAGCCTTTATCGCCACTAATGTGACTAAACCCTGTTACCACTTTGTTGGCTGCACCATATGTGAGGTCTCGCCACAAAATGAGTCGCTTGGTTGGAAATTTTAAAATTGAGATAATAGTACCATTGGATAGATCAGATTATCAGCTTTAATATGGTCTTTGAATGAATTAATTCGGATAATTATATCCAGAGTTATAGGCGTTTTAAATTTAAAAATAGGTGATCTATTTTTCGAACTATTTTGAGAAAAGGTACTTTAAAGTAAGCGCACAATAAACAATGATATTCACTTAAAACCTTACAAAAAAACAAGTGGTATAAAACAAAACCCCATAGCAACGACACAGAAGATGTTTGTCAATTGAAATGAAATTTTGCATGAACATACTTCACATAATTCTCTATCATATGACAACAAAACGAATATCCCCCGGGGACCCCGGGGGGTGGGGATATGTTTTTTTTAAATGTTGCTTTTAATTTCCATCTATGTAAGTACTAATGCATTGAATACCCTTGTTAACGATGCAGCGCAACTACCTTTACATAAAACAATATTATTTCGGTAACAATAAAGTGGGAGTGGGGTATCTAATTAATGTACCACACCATGGGACACACCCCCGGGGTACTCAGTCCCTGGAAATCTGTGGATTGCTTAATTTACAATTTGCACACCTTGGATTATTAACAACAGTTAAGTATATACAGTACTGTACTGAGGATATACCTTACCAACAGCCTCCCCCGGGTATCAAGTACTGCCCCCCCCCGGTATCAAGTACTCACCCCCGGGGTACTTATTCTCTGGAAATTTGTCGTTTGCCCGCTACCTTGGATTAATTAATATAACACTAAGGATGTACCTAACCAAATGCCTTATCCCCACCCCAGGGTACTTATTCCTTGGAAATATCTACAATTTGCACATGTCCCACATGGTATTGAGGATACTGTAGTATACTTAACCAACTGTCTTCACCCCCTCCGCCAAGTACCTTCCCCCGGGACCGCAATCCCCACGCCATCCAAATAAACAAAGGTTTTTAATTCCAACCAACTACACAACAGCATTATATGGTCAACAGTCCATCTTCCACCACCTTCCCACTCCCCTCACTCTGTGTGTGTGCCCAGGGGGCTCCTGGCTGAAAACGATATTAATGCTATGTTGAAATTTCAATACCAATTGTACATCAACACATGCCATTCAATTCTCTCATACGATTTTGTATCATGACACTAATACAATTCAAGAGGTCACTTTAAACTTTAATTGCACATCAAACACAATAATACTGTTTCTAAATTACAAATAAATGTACTAGCTTATCTATTACAAAAACATTTAAAAACTATAACGGTATTTAATAAATCAGCTGAGTTAGTCGTTCATTGCACAGAATAAAGAACTATCAAATTAATTTTTAAAAAAGTTGAGTTGTTCCTTTATTAAGTGAACTGTAGTGACAACAATTAAAATTTAAAAACCAGTTGAGTTGTTTGTTACTTCAGTTATTTGCACTGTATAGCATTTGCTTCAGAATGTATTTGCACTATTTTTAAGGTAGTTAATTTCTGAATCACAAATTAATGTACAAGCTTATCTATTACAAAAAAACATTTTTAAACTATAAAGAACTTAATAAATCAGCTGAGTTGGTCATTCTTTGCACAGAATATTGAACTATCAAATTAATTCAAAAACAGTTGAGTTGTTCCTTCATTAAGTGAACTGTAGTGACAACAATTAAATTACTTTAAAAAACAGTTGAGTTGTTTGTTACTTCAGTTATTTGCACTGTATAGCATTTGCTTCAGAATGTATTTGCACTATTTTAAATGTACTTAATTTCTGAAAGAATCACAAATTTATGTACCAGCTTATCTATTACAAAAAACATTTTTAAACTATAAAGTACTTAATAAATCAGCTGAGTTGGTCATTCGTTGCACAGAATATTGAACTATGAAAATAATTTAAAAACAGTTAAGTTGTTACTTCAGTTATTGCACTGTAATAGCAATTGCTTCAGAATGTTTTTGCACTTTTAATGTGGGCATGGTTCTGTTGGCAGTGGGCAGGTACGGTTTTTGGCCTCTTCATTCAGACAGAACTCTCTAATAGATGTGTATAAGAGACAGGTACTAGCTTATCTATTACAAAAACATTTAAAAACTATAACGGTATTTAATAAATCAGCTGAGTTAGTCGTTCATTGCACAGAATAAAGAACTATCAAATTAATTTAAAAAAAAGTTGAGTTGTTCCTTTATTAAGTGAACTGTAGTGACAACAATTAAAATTTAAAAACCAGTTGAGTTGTTTGTTACTTCAGTTATTTGCACTGTATAGCATTTGCTTCAGAATGTATTTGCACTATTTTTAAGGTAGTTAATTTCTGAATCACAAATTAATGTACAAGCTTATCTATTACAAAAAACATTTTTAAACTATAAAGAACTTAATAAATCAGCTGAGTTAGTCGTTCATTGCACAGAATAAAGAACTATCAAATTAATTTAAAAACAGTTGAGTTGTTCCTTCATTAAGTGAACTGTAGTGACAACAATTAAATTACTTTAAAAAACAGTTGAGTTGTTTGTTACTTCAGTTATTTGCACTGTATAGCATTTGCTTCAGAATGTATTTGCACTATTTTAAATGTACTTAATTTCTGAAAGAATCACAAATTTATGTACCAGCTTATCTATTACAAAAAACATTTTTAAACTATAAAGTACTTAATAAATCAGCTGAGTTGGTCATTCGTTGCACAGAATATTGAACTATGAAAATAATTTAAAAACAGTTCAGTTGTTACTTCAGTTATTGCACTGTAATAGCAATTGCTTCAGAATGTTTTTGCACTTTTAATGTGGGCATGGTTCTGTTGGCAGTGGGCAGGTACGGTTTTTGGCCTCTTCATTCAGACAGAACTCTCTAATCTTCTGATACAGGTACCACTGCCGTTCCCCCGAAAGTCCAGCTGGCTCCAATTCTGGCAAGTGCAATCGAGAAGGGACAGCGACATCCTTCCTTAACAGGTTGAACTCTTTCTCCTCCGAAGTCATATACTCTTTTACAAACACAGAGCCTGGTGAATTTGAATCAAACCTAAAAACAAAATGCAATTTACAGTATATTAAAAAAGACATAATGAATAATGTACCATACAGTCAAACTTTTCATGCCAAATTGATGCATTTTCCATTAATTTACCAAAGTCTTTATCAATGTCACTGTGAATTTGACTTAGGCAAGTTTGACTGTATTTGCTAATCCGGGTGGTGAGTTAACCAATCAAAGGTTCTCATATTAGAACCACGAATGTGGCCCGGGAGGGAATGAGCATAGGCCCAAGATCTAGTGTTCGCCAAGTGAGGCGAGTTTGATTTTTTTTCAGATGATTTTGTTTTCACGACTATTAAGCAGAATCGCTGTCTTAAACAAGATTAGAACTTAATGTTTACAAACCTGAAATGGTGGTATGAGAGGATACCCTTCAACTTCTTGAATGTGGTCTGGAAGAAGTTTTGCCAGTTGTATATTGGTACAGTCATGTTACCATCCTTATCCATCACTAGCTGCGGAATATTTACTCCGGATTTGGTACTGTCCCTCACAACATCAACCATATCATCCACGGAAAACACTTCCCTCCTACGGTATGCCTGCTTAATCAAACCAAATCCCCAATCTGGCGAAAATTTTGTATGTCCGGCAATTAAAAACCGCAACTGCACAGATTTATGCTGACCTGAATAAGTAATTGGATATTCTGTTAATGTTACTACAGAGATGTTGTACTAGCACTAAATAAATCAAGTCTATTAATGTACAGTAAAAATTTCCTATGTCGAATTCAAAGTGGCTTTGAAAAAAATTTGACATGAAAAAATAAATTTGACTTTGAAATAATTCGACTTAAACAATGTGATTTGTCGTAAAAAAATAATTTTAACAAAAATACCTGTTAATGTCCTCCACATCAGATACCACAACATGTATGAATTCTTATTCTGGCCAGAACAGTTATCCGCATTCAGGATAAGATACTTCTCGCCCAGTCCATAATTACAGAGAAAGTAGTCAACAAGACTGATTACTCCATTTGCCCCTTTCACATTTCCAACAGCTTCATCGATAAGGTAATTGATCTTTAAAAAAAGAACAGGTAAATACTATGATTACGAGGTGCGTTAGGTCAGGCAAATTTGAAGCGTTCAACAGCAAATGCACCAGGAGGTCACCAGAAGCAACAACAATGACCTGCTGTTGAGCCCATCTGAAATGGTTTAACCAAATCAAATATAAAGCTCAAGCTCTTGACTGTGATGGAGGCAGACTTACAGAGCCACCACACTCCTAAGATAGGGCATGTGTATCAAGTCAAGCTAGGGAAAAAAGATCTATAGAAAAAAGTAAACATATAATGAAAACTTACTTGCTGCGGAAGTGCTTCACACTGTACTCCAAACAGCCCAATCTTCAAACCCGTCAAAAAAAACAGTGGGCCAGGTTGAAAGGGATTACTTGGTACATGTACCTGCTGGGCAAAATCGAAGGAATAGTGCATTGTCATGTCTCTACTGCAGGCCCTATTCTGGTGTCTCTACACAAAATTATTAAAACGACTTGGGCGCTTCACTACGCGACCACTTCTCGTTTTGATCTCAGAACGAACTCTCTCAGAATTATAGATGTGTATAAGAGACAGCCGATAGATCATCCAATTGTTTTTTTGGCACATCCAACACAAGTCACTCCGTGGTTTGGCCACCATTATCTCTGGGCATAACTGCTTCCATAAACTTCGAAAGGATGTAATTGATGCAGCTCTTTCTCCTAAAAAATAAAATTTCATACCTCATAAAATTTCATACTGGGGTATAAGTTTTGTACAAAATTAATTTCAGTCAAAACTGGTGGTAGATGCTTATGAAGTTCTGGTTGTAACAACAACAGAAGTGAGAAACCAAGTCCGCTTTGTACGGACCTAAAAATTCAAAACAGTGATACTAACCGATTGCTTTCATAGAAGCTTCATACATAACATGTATAGATGTTATGGTGTAGCTGCTTGGCAGCAAAAAGATGTTGTCTTTAGTTGACCTGTACACTCCTGGTACACGGCCTGGAAGTGCCAGTCCATGCGTCTCACATGTATTTTGGAGGAATGTAACCACACGCTTTATGTCGTCTGTTGTCAGGGCATTGCTGTTGTTTTTCCTTCCCCCAGATCGTTTTCGGCGTGACACAGCTCCATTTTCCTTGAGGTGTTTTATTAGGGCAGTTAGCTTGTTTTGTGAAATTCTGTAAAGATAACAATGAAAAAAATTCATAAAATTACAGTTAGATAAAACAATTCTTATTTTTTTTACAAATATAACATAAATATGTACCAGGTCCCAACTGACCGACCCAATTAAAAAAAAAATTAACTTTTGAAAATCCCCTTTATTCGTCAATATTGATCAACAATTTTTAAAATCCCAACCAGCGTTTGCCTAAAAAAAATATCAAATTACACTTTACAGGAAAATTTCAAAAATGCAGTGAAAAGGTTAATCATGTATTAGTGTAACTTACCGATGAAGAAATTTAAATGTTTCTCTGCAAATCGGTGATCCACGAAAATAATAGAACGTATGAGACGATTTCCTGTCCACGTCGTATCTGCAAGGCCACTTTCCTTCAAGTTTAGTGCCATCGTTCAAGAGAGCATTGATGGACCCCATCACAAACATGTCTTTTTCAACTGTGAAATAAAAAATATTAAATGTAATAGTATAAAAAACAAGGTGCCACTGTAATTTAACACACATTTTAGACTTTCCTCCACATATTAACAGCGAGGAAAATTTTAAAAAATAGAAAAAAAAATGGCCAGGGCTTCGCCGTGTCATGGCCGTTGAGAAACCAATGGATAGAGACTAATCTTACGTGGTAGGCCCAAGTAGTCATACACCCTCCAGGTCCCTGCCCCCTTTTCCGGCTAGGAGCTCACTAACCCTAAGCTATACCACAGGGTATTCATACAGGCTTCCACATGCTACTGTATACTCGTCAGCCTATGGCCTTTCCCTGTACACTACTAGGCCAAAAGGCTAGGCCTACAACAGAAAGAAAACAAAATTACTTACTACTCGGGAGTTCTCTCATATTGAGCCGAAACGTCACAACATCGTCAACAGGGTACTGATTAATACAGGGGGTTTTGTCTGGTCCGTATGTGCATCTGCAATTTTTAATCACTAAGTCCTCAGCTACAATGGGGTCTTGGTTTTCCTGGCCTGCAAACACCTGATCCAACTTATTTTCTACAACATCTGCCTCTACGATTAGGCCACCTACTTCTAGGCCATCGGCTCCTCCTAGGTTCTTGATGTCCTCCTCCATAAGCAACGATAGTTCACCATCCGATTCGTAGCCCGCCTCATCATAATCATCAACATCAGATTCCGTGTCACTGTCATCGTCGTTGTCCTCGCCTGGCCTACAAAAGTACTCCTCAATTAAATCGCTCAATTCATTATCATCGCCTAGGCCTAGCAGATGAGGATCTACCTGTTGATTCAAGGCATTCCTCAGATCTTCGGTGTTTAGAGATTTTCTTTTCATCGTGAAATAGTGTATAAAACAAGATTAACTAACGAATGGTGTGCATGTGTAAAAGCCGAGCTGTCAAGTGAACATGCCGGGTGAGCGGTATTGCGCAAGCGCAGAAAAACACTTGACCTTACGACCTAGGATTTTAACCAATCAACAGCTGAGGCTACAGTCACCTGGTAAAGAAAACCAATCAGAAGGCTTGATAAAAGCCCTTAACAACCATTTGTATACATTTCTTTTGTCGTTTCTTATTGGTGGATTCGGTCTGTCTCTTATACACATCTAGATGTGTATAAGAGACAGCTCCTGGTACACGGCCTGGAAGTGCCAGTCCATGCGTCTCACATGTATTTTGGAGGAATGTAACCACACGCTTTATGTCGTCTGTTGTCAGGGCATTGCTGTTGTTTTTCCTTCCCCCAGATCGTTTTCGGCGTGACACAGCTCCATTTTCCTTGAGGTGTTTTATTAGGGCAGTTAGCTTGTTTTGTGAAATTCTGTAAAGATAACAATGAAAAAAATTCATAAAATTACAGTTAGATAAAACAATTCTTATTTTTTTTACAAATATAACATAAATATGTACCAGGTCCCAACTGACCGACCCAATTAAAAAAAAAATTAACTTTTGAAAATCCCCTTTATTCGTCAATATTGATCAACAATTTTTAAAATCCCAACCAGCGTTTGCCTAAAAAAAATATCAAATTACACTTTACAGGAAAATTTCAAAAATGCAGTGAAAAGGTTAATCATGTATTAGTGTAACTTACCGATGAAGAAATTTAAATGTTTCTCTGCAAATCGGTGATCCACGAAAATAATAGAACGTATGAGACGATTTCCTGTCCACGTCGTATCTGCAAGGCCACTTTCCTTCAAGTTTAGTGCCATCGTTCAAGAGAGCATTGATGGACCCCATCACAAACATGTCTTTTTCAACTGTGAAATAAAAAATATTAAATGTAATAGTATAAAAAACAAGGTGCCACTGTAATTTAACACACATTTTAGACTTTCCTCCACATATTAACAGCGAGGAAAATTTAAAAAAATAGAAAAAAAAAATGGCCAGGGCTTCGCCGTGTCATGGCCGTTGAGAAACCAATGGATAGAGACTAATCTTACGTGGTAGGGCAAAGTAGTCATACACCCTCCAGGTCCCTGCCCCCTTTTCCGGCTAGGAGCTCACTAACCCTAGGCTATACCACAGGGTATTCATACAGGCTTCCACATGCTACTGTATACTCGTCAGCCTATGGCCTTTCCCTGTAC